TTTGAGCGCCGTTTTAGAGTCGACGAGCCCGTGGCAATTGGGCTTGCCTCGCCGAAAAGATGCGACGGTCTACTCGGCCGCCGCGTCGCGCTAAGAAGTCTGACCGCAGTCTTCGTTCGACATTACGTCTTTTTTCTATGACGTCATCAGATTCAGAAGCCGAAGATGATGTATACTCGTTGTGTGTGCGTGACTCACCATTTTGTATTGACATAGCTTTGCCGGAGGACCGGATCTCGCTTCGTCATATATCTGGATTCGACAACACCGGCAATGTGCGCATATGGCCTGGAGGTGAGGCTCTCGCCTATTACTTGTCAATCCGACCACCACTTGTGTCGGGGAAGTTGGTACTGGAACTAGGAGCAGGGCTTGTTGGACTTCCGGGTTTCATTGCTGCCATATATGCAACACGGGTCAGAATTACGGACGGCAATGAGCACTCTGTAGCATCATTGAGAGATATAGCAAAACGGAATCCTCTTCCAAACGTGGAAATCGAGCAGCTGAGATGGGGTGCAGGAGCTGAAGAGAGAAAGTTCGACTTGATTCTAGCCGCAGATTGTGTATTTTTTTCAGAATATTATGAAGATTTGCTAAATACTTTTGATAGGTTTCTTGCCCAAAAAGGTCTTGTATATGTTTGCAGTCCCAAACGAAAGGGTAGCTTGGATCGATTTATTGAGTACATAGAGGATGACAGCAGATTTACATTTGAATTTATCCCTGAATTTGACTATATTATGGATGACTTGTGTATTCTTAAAGATGAGCAAAGAGATGCTGAATTACCGTATTTATTATCGCTCAAGCGTTGCCTACTGGATCATACGGCCAAGTAACAATTACTAGTAGTGCTGCCTTCTTTTGTTTTTGTTTTTGTTATTGTTGACTCAATAAAGTATATTTCCTGCGCGATCATTGTCGTTTCATGGAGGAAGACGTTGTATGCGCACCTCATTGACTATCTATACTGTATTTGTAATCGTAAAATGTATCACATTGCATATAGCGTAGGATTGTTCATGTAATTGCAGGAACTTCAGAAATCTATACAGGTTTCCGTACTGAAATCTGCAGATGATGTTTGTGAAGAAATTAGGACGCAAGGAGGTGAGTAGGTAAAGGCTCTTGCGGTGCTGTGCAGGTGTACTGATGAGCAGCGCAGCGTATGGCTTTTTAGTATAAGTTCAACTTCAGTTTTTCTCATGCCTAATGCTTCACGACTGCATACAGATTTGTTTCATCTTAGGTAAGGTTCAATTCGATCCCGAAGTTGTTGCTCATGTTAGCGCACTTGTTTGGGATACGGTCAGCAGTGACTGGACGTCCGATCTCTTAGCATTCTCCAAGTAAGCAGATCTCAATTTGTCCGTAGAAACTTTTGCTCAGATTTTGAAGATATCTTTTGCTATAGCCAGTACTGCTAATTAAAACCACCATTATCGCAAGATTAGTTTTGCTGAGACCTTTTTTATACTATCAGTAATATTTCGCGTAGCAATCTAAACTTTATTGTAGCCATGCTGGACGTGAGACCGTGAATGTTTCCGATGTTATGCTTATTCTGAGAAGAAATCGACGTCTGGTGCGAAATAGTTCTCCTTATGACCCACATTATGCACTTTTCAAACTATCCATAACATTTCGTTTTTGTTTTAGTTGGACTTGGTGTCGACGGTAGCCGATATCGACGTTGGCGAATATGAACGTCCGGTTGCGAAGCGACAACGCGTCAACAACAAGGAATCGAGAGCGAAGCGCGCTGACAAGGGTGGAACCAGCAAAACAGGTAGTGTTGTGAGTAACCAAGATTTATTGTTTGGTGCATGCAGCTGTGTTTACAAAACAACGTCAGGTGCTTCTGCGCGGAAAAATTCCGCAGGACCAGCGTCGGAAGCTAGTAGAAGACCATTGTCGTCAAGCGTTGTGGATGCCGCCAGAAGTGAACTTAATAAAGAAGTGGAAGTTCTGTCCGAGGTTATTAGACAAGTTTACTAATTCAGCACCGACATTTGCTAACAACAATTAATAACGTCATAAGAAAGCACATTCCAGGAAAAGGTCGAAGATGATGGTAGTCGTGCCATGCAACAAGCTGACGGTTGCTCAGGAAAAGATCATAAGGTGGTTCTTTATTTTAGAGGCCTGTTTCTCGTTATGTTTTCGCCAAAGCTCCACCTTAGACACGGGAAATCCAATGTCCATAAAGGCTTGAGATAAGGTGAGCGAATAAGACTTCATCGTTCCCCTACTCGTTTGATTTCAAGGTGGGCCGCATGATTATGCGTATTATTCGCACCTTCAAGTACCGAATAAATGGTAGAAAGTCATTTCTTCTTAGTATTAGCACCTGCTATCATAGTGCTGAGGTGGTTCCTCTCGGCACCCATTGTAACACGGCTCACGTAGATGGTTAGCTGTTCAATCACTTGTTCGGAATTAAACCTGGCGGAGATACCTGTGTTGTGATGTGCGCTGTATGAGTTCTACCTGTAATGTAACTACATTTAGGCCTACTGTTAATCTCCTATTAATGCTCTCCTTTCAGTAGATTTTCCATAGCACCACCTCTGTAATAAACAAAGAAAGCTCTGCGAACGGACAGACATATAATAAAATTTGATCTAAACCAACCCGTCAAGATGTCCCAGAACTTATTCGATGTCCTGTATACAACAAGAAAGCCACTAAGTGTTGCGAATGCTAAGTAAATCTAGTTGTCAATGGGCACGTCGAACGGATAGTTCCCTTTATCAACGCCCAAGAAAGAATTTAACGAATTTGTAAAATGTTTAAACCGTAACAAATGTTGTTTTTCTGTACAACATGAGGCGGAATGTTGAACAAATGTGTCGCTGTATCACCCATATAGCAGTTCGTCGAACCGGAGCATGTGCAAATCTTGTTTTTTGAACTTTCGGATTAGACGCCCGCACATCATTGAAATACTTGGAATTCTCTTGACGGTGACTTTTTTTGATGACCTCGCTGATGGCATTAAAACGAGCACGCAAATCGCCTCTTCCAGCAGGCCTCATTTGTGAGTTAGGAAATGAACGCTGCAAAGGGAACCTACTCAGTTGTTTGAAAAGTTAACATAATCTAATCCTCACCTGTGACCTCTCAGGAATGGAAGCACTTTATTTTGACGGTCTTTATATTAAAGTATGATATATACTCTTTGTAGGACTTAGCTTCAATCGTTGACGATATGGAGCTTGCCGATCCGATTCAGCTTAGTTCACCGAACACCAGCACTCCACTACCGAAAAGCAGTGAAATTCAGCAAACTTCAGCAGCAGAGGTTTATCATACAAAATTCTTGAACAGTAGTTGATTGAAGTATTCTTTTTACGTTTAGTGCAGTACACCTAAAACACGAGGTTATCGAAGATGTCAAACTGGCCATAAACCTGAGGTTGCAACAGGCCCTGCGGAAGCAAGGTTGCTCAGAAGAAGTACTGTAGACACGAACGTATGTTGCCTACAGTAACTTTCTTAGGTTTTCTGAGCAGGAATATATCTCAATAGCCCTTATCAACCCTCCCGTTAATCATCGATATTCTCGAACGAGCGCTTCCAATCGTCTCTTCGCGAGTCCCTGTGTCCAGTGAACCGACTTTGCTCGAGCGATCGAAGCGAGTCTTTTTAGCCATTCAAAATTTTCGTGTAGAAATCTGACTATTGGACTAACAGCCGTACCAATGTTTGTTTGACGTCCCGAGGGATCCAGCCAGTGAGTGCTCAGGTCCAACGGTCAATCTCAAAACCTACGGTTACCCCTTCGACCATATGATGATTTCTTAGATACACGTAGTGGGGGGGGGGGGGGGGGGGGGGNCGATGCCGTCTACGGCACCTAGTATGAATGCGGCCACTAGCTTCATATGCATGTTCAACAAGAATGTATTTACCCGTAGTCGTTTCAGAAAGGACCCAAAAAAGCTCCAACTAAAGCTCCAATGGTCACTCGTAGTCCAGAAGCTGAACCTAGGAGATCATCCAGTCCAGATCTCTTTGGCACACCTGTGAAAGGTGAGGCACGCTGACGAAATAAGCATTTCACTAATGAAGGTGGATTTGCTCCATTATAGTGAGTGAAAATTTCGATGACGATGATTGGGAGATACCTGTCTCGCAGCGTCCAATGGACACCAGCCGAGGCGATAAGTCTGGACACAGCGGAAATTCCAGTAAAAACATCGATGCTGAAAGCAAGAAATCTGGGGGTGGATGGTCGGCGAGTGAGTCCTGTCTTATTGTTCGAAGGAAGGAAATTGTTCAACTTTCATTGTTTACGGATGTCTGGGAGGGTGTGCCCATAATTCCCTCATTCAGAGTTCTGAGTAAAACATGTATGGCTTTCATCGGAATTCGGCCCTAAAATTAGGCATGAATTTATGTTTTCCTGGAATTTTAGTGATTAATTGAAAGTATTATATTTTACGGCAGGAATTCAGTGGTTCACAGCAAATTGGGAGGCACAACTGATAGTGTTAAAGAGTAGCAAAATGCGGGTGTTTCGTCCATTGTTCAGGATACTGCTAAGCAAAATAATAGGATTTCTACAAACAACAGTATGACGCTTGTAATCTTGTTTCCAAACAGTAATGTTCCACAAAGCTCCTCGAATTCCTTCCTTGGTTTTTCTTGCTGCAACTGTTCACCATTTTTTCATATTTGTTATGATTTTCTTTTTTTATTGGTTTTGCGTTATCTCCGCTGTCATCCTGTTGTTACTATTTTTACAGAATTCTCCGAATTTTCTTTCCTTGACACTGAAACTACAGATGCTACGAGGCCAACGAGTTCAAAAAGTGAGTTAGCTCTTTTCTCTCATCGCTGTTGTCAATAATTTTATACGACTTCATTTTTCATGTTTTATTTCTAATTCTATCGTGAGCTTTGTGGAGACAGTTAATGCTGTGCGCCAGCAGATGTGATTCTCCCATGTTGAGTTCCCCAACAGAAATCCTAAAAATTTTGTTCCTTCTTTCTCGATTACCACCGATTTCTTACGGGCACTTCACAATGCACCAAGTATCCCATGTGCTCAATAAACTGAACGGCGCTGGAGGATAGGCTCATATAAGCGACGATCGGGAAGCTTTTTTATAATGCGATTGAGAGAGACGTGAAGGTAACAACATTTGCTTCCACATCCTCCACGCCAGCTTCGACCATCGTTTTCTGAACATTGTAGTTTCCTAGTTCAAAATATTTTTTTTTCATAGTTTCTCTCGATGAAATCATCATTGCATTTAGAAGATAAGTTTGAGTAGTTTTCACCATTTAGAAGCTCCTGCAAAGCAGTCTGGACTATCCCGACAATTGGCATCTGGAAGTCGAGATATTACAAAATCTACTACACCAAAGCAAATTTCCTCGACGACTCCGGCATCAAGATGCGCTCGTCCACATTCTGCAACTCTCGAACCAGATACCAGTTGCCGTAGCAGGTCAAGGAGTTCGCTAGAAAAGTCTCGAGCTTCCTCTCGCGGTTCAACAGCCAGCTCCTCACAAAGGTGTGCCTTGTAAGATCTCTTTTATTTATTTATTTTTTTGAGATAATGGGAAATTCAAAACGTCGTGATATTAACTCACCTGATGCTGTAAATCCGTCCTTTTATTTCCCTCAATCTGAGCCATTGGTAACCGTGAGCAACAGGTTTTAGTAGTAGCCTACATCATCTTAAAGTACATCTTGTTTAGTAGTCGCTATTATTAGTTACCCAATATCGATGGCCCCCTTTGTGTGCATAATGAATAAATAAATAAATTCGATTACAGCTGCATTAAAAAAATTCATTCTGAATTCTTTACTGAAAGAGAAGACCTCNTTTTTTTCTCCCCTGTATGCAAATGTACTCCTCACAATAGTTGTTTTCAGGGTTGATTTGCATTCATCATTGTCAGCACAAAACAACGATTCTGACGACGACTTTTTTGATCTGTAATTACCGCTGCAGCGTACATAATAATTGAAAGCCTACCTAGGATTACTGTTTTGTGTACTGTTTCTGTTATTCCTGTTCCATTTTTGCAATCAGTTTCACTTACGAATGCATTTTTAATACAATGAATTGATTTTAACCTAATAAATTTCATAACCAAAAAGTTATTCATGGTTTTTCCTACCGTGTCTCTACACGGAAACAGCCTACTTTGGGAAAGTCCCAATTTGATTCAAGCCCTAAAAGAGCAAAGAAAATCAAGAACTGCGATGTCAACGCTTAAGGTGCTGCTTTTCGCTTAAGGTGCTATTTGAGTGTTGCTAAAACGCAATGCGATTTTACTGGGAGCTTTCTTAGTAAATGCGTTCTAACGCAGATGTCTGCGTCAGATTTTGGCGCACAAGTCGGCGTTGGAGCGCAGATTTGATACAGGCAACCACGGATGAACCTTTGAGAGCTTACCTTCGGGATTTTCAGATATGGAAAGCTTCTGACAGGGTCAATAGAAGCAGGACTTCGGATTATTCGGTTAAGAGCATCCCCTCCAAATTACATATGTGAAAGCCCTTAACTGCCAGTTTGGAGTGTATTTTGAAAACCCAGTACCCTGACTTAACTATCATTAGTGGCAACGCGGTCTGCCCAATCCAATAACCAATGGAAAAGGTCGCGGGCTGCTTGTCACCCAAGACGGAATTGGAGGTCCCGTGAATGTGTTGATGTCGTGTGAGTAACCTGAATACATACTCAAGGGCCTCGAATCACCCGCCACAAATACGACACAACGAAAAGGTATCCTGTTTGATGAGCGTGGAGTGGGTGGTGGGGCTCCGTGGGGTTACTGTATCACGCATTCATGAGACGTGAAACCGACTTCCTCTTTTTACCCTGTAGTGGACTTCGCCTTCAGTTAGTCACCAGACTTCTCCTACGTTCGTACAACGCAAGGCTTCTGATGGCAACTACGATCAAGAGCCGAGGGTGGCATGCAACGCCCATCAGTCTAACCAGTGCTTACAACAAGGAAACTTACAGTTCCATTCCGGAACCTTTTCTCAATGAGTTCTTCTCCATTTCGGCATCCCTAGTCAAACTTTCCGTGTTAAGAATTATTAATGCTCTCCAATAATTGCAAATAGTATGGAAGTCCATATAGTTGAATTTCAGAGAAAGACCTAAAGTGATTGCCATAACTAGGGGTAGCCCTCTTTTCGGGTCACCACCATTCCAACTTCCAGCAGTATTACAGGAGGTTGCCTCCTCAGCGCGACGCATGAGTCACGCGTGCGGAGATCGATAACGGTGTTGCGGGCCGTTACGGGCTAGATGCGTCGTGAGCACTAGTTTGTTCGAATTGGTATAGGCAAGATCTGAACCCCCCCTCCCCCAAAAAAAAAAAAAAACGAGGAACTAGAACTGACGTCTACTTTGTTCTATTATTGTGGCCCAACAGTTTCTTGCCAAAGCGTTTTTCTTTGTATGTTTTGTTGCTTTGTTTTTTTTTGCTTACTATATTTTTCAATGGACGTGTAGTTCAGTGTTTTGAATGCAAAGGAACCACACATTAACTTGAAACAGTACAGTGAACGTTAAAAATTGAATGCTTTCTGGTTTCCGAGCAGGTATGTGCTCAATTTATGTGTGATAGTATTTTACTTTGGGTCTTCGAGAATTCTGGTGATCGGCTTGATTTTCTCTGGAGTGAGAGTGCGTGATTCTGTTGCTATGGTTGTAGGTTAATGAATGCTCACGCCTTAATTCGATCACAGATTAAGTAGCGCAAAGGACTGCAATTCCTCATATAGAGGCTGGTTCCACTTATAGAGTAACTCCTTTTTGTAGATTTCTGCTAGCGCTGGTCTTCGTTTTATGTCATCTTGTGAAGCGAACTGCGTTAGCAACAATCACTGTGAAGGAAATGAGGTGAACATCGTTACAGGTACAGTAGTATCATGCTAGTAGAATTGTAAACTGTTTCAGTTAAGGCTGAGACATTCAAAGAGGATGTTGCTGACGCTGAAATCCGGGAAGCTGAAAAGATTCTGAACGCCTTCCTCTGTTATGGTTTATATGGTCGTGAGATGGCGTGTAGGACCATGCTGTCATTCAAGTAAGCGAGTTTTCTTTTCTTAAATAAGGACCATTGAGGTGATAGCGGCCTTTTCCCCAATGGGACCTTGTTTTTCTTAGAGAAGTGAATTTAGGAAATTATCCTCTTCTCACAAAGATATCATACTGCAATCACACAATGATCACATGCGCAACGTTCTCAAATGCGTCGACCACAATCAAGAGTATGTGGTTTGTTTATTCTGGTGAAGTTTACGAAAATTCGCTTTGGAATTGCAGAATTTTGAAGAAGATTATAAGTTATGGGTTAAGCGTGTTTGGAGAAGAGTTTGCAACGAAGACTAGAAGGATCCGTCAGAAAAGGTTCCAATTTAGCTGCGACATTTCCTTTTATGACTATTAAGATTATTAACCGTTCAGGCGCCCAGAACCGCATTATATGTCCAAAATTCTTAGCACTTTGCGCCAGATTGTGCGAGAGTGGACCGTTGAAGGTAAGAAAAAACTTCTGTTTGTAGATATAGAGATATTCTTCGTTTTGGTTTAGGAAAAGCGGAGCGTGACGCTACATATAAGCCAATTTTGGATATTGTTCGCGAGCGTTATTCTTGCATCAGTGATCGAAGCACGGTGAAACTCATGGTCCCTGGTTCTGGACTTGGTAAGCCTTGACACACTTTGAACATTTGAATTTCCCCTCAAAGTAAATTATTTCAATCAATTTTCTCCCAAATTCCAATTGTTTTGCTTTTCAGGTCGATTGGCGTTCGAACTTGCAAAAGAAGGCTTCACTGTAGAGGGGAATGAATATAGCATGGTGATGTTGATGACATCCTCATTCCTCTTAAACGCCTGCTTTGAGGTAATCCATTGTTCTTTCTGTTGGGAGCTTCGGTTAGCTAAAGTTATAATTTTTGAGGTGGAAGAGCATGTTATATATCCTTACGCGTTGGACAAGAGTAACTCCTGGTCCTATGAAGACCAGACACGACCTGTACGATTCCCTGATCTCGGAAAGTCGAGAACTGAGGTAACGCTTATCCCGAATAAATTTTTACCTTTAATAAATTTAATCTCGCGTAAATGAAATGTAGTGAATAGAATATAAACGAGCTCTGTAGGAATTCACTGAGTAGTATGATTTCTGGAGTGTTGAGAAGTGTATTCGAAAAACGTTAGTCAGGGAAAAGCACTTAGGGATAATTCAGTTCCTTTGGGAACAACTCTCATGGAAGCCATGAGCTTGGAAAGACGAGCACTAATGCACAAGTGGTTTTTTGTCATAGGACCAGAGAAAACGTAGAACTGAATTATAAGTGGACGACATGTTTTCCTCATTTGACCACCGATGCATTCAGGCCCCTCCAAATTTCTCGATGATCGCCGGTGACTTTTTAGAGATAACACAATCGAGATCATCGCAGTTTGATTGTGTTGTTACGGCATGGTTCATCGACACAGCAAAAAATGTAATTGACTACATAGGTAAGCCTCTTAAGGTGTATTGGTAAATAATTCGAATATGATCCGATGAAGAAACTGATGTTATAATGACTGGTTCATTTTCGAAATTTTCATTTCGTTTCGCAGGAAAATTGTCTATTTATTTTGTATAGTAAAAAATGATAAAGTAAAAAGTGAGCTTAGGCGTCTTTACTGTTTTGTTACGATTGCATTGCAGAAACTATCTACAGGATTCTTAAACCAGGCGGAACATGGGTTAATGTTGGACCCTTGACATATCATTATGAGGATATGATAGAGGAGGTGAGTGTGTGGCTTCATTCCTTGATAGGATGAAAATCGATGGCTCAGTTTGTCCAGGAATCCTTTTAAAGGCATATTTCAGTTAGGATTGAACCATTCAGGATTGACTACACTTTTCCAGGTTCACTTAACTTCTCTTACTTCAAGCAAGTTAAACGTTCGGTCTAGTGCTCCTCTAAATCCGTTTTTTCAGATGTCTATAGAGTTGCCATACGAAGAGGTTATGCGAATTGTACGACTTACGGGTTTTGTTGTAGAAAAAGAAGAAAGGATTACCAGTTACTATACAATAAATCGATTATCCATGTTACAGAACCAGTACACATGTGCTTTTTTCGTTGCAAACAAAAGTATGCATTGTTGATGTTGTGATATTCTAGAATCGCCTTGAGGAAGAGAACTTACAAGGGTGTTTTTGATCACTCTCAGTTTTTTTTTTAGATTGCAGTATAACTGTTTGTTGTTATTGTGAAGAGTTTCTAATTTGTGAAAATTTATAAAAATTTCTATTCTTTATAGCATTTACTTTGATGATGGTTTCTTTTCCATTCAATACTTTCATATACTTTTCCTTAGAGTACATTTGCTTTTAAGCAAGTTGGAGCGGAGTTTCAGATACAATATAAGTTAGAAGAAGCACCAACATTTTTCCCGTTTCGCCATGTCCCTTTTCCACAATGTGGAGCTTCTTAATGGGATGCCGAAGCATAGCGAATTATCAAGTTCGTGGAATTGGAGCAAGTTTCTTGCAAGTAGGTTTGAGTTCCGATGGTATCTCAGTCTTTCTTGAAGTTTTTGCTGTTGGTATTCAACTGCATATTTAAGACCTGGTAAAGATGGACGAGAAGGAAAAAAAGGCGGAAGAAGAAGCTATGGAGAATTCCGAGAACGCGGAGAAGAAGGAACTTATTGAAGACGGGCGCTTGTGGCCTTACGTTGTGCCTGTAGATGCATTCGCAGAGCACGTATTTGGTGAATACACCGACAAACTTGTGGAAGGCGTTGTGGTCTGTTTTTTGTTGTTTTATGTAACAAAGTAACCAATATATAAGCAAGCTAGGTTTATTATGCACGGGTTTCGACAAATATATTACCATTGGGCTATGCTTTGTGAATGATCGAGACTCCTTTCTTCTCCGCCTATTAGATTATTTAGATTTTATTCCTCAGCCGATAAGCCGATTAGGCTATTTAGACTTATTCCGCTTCACCTCGTACTTCCATCGGTACTTGCGGGGCAGTCACTTCCAGTCTTTTTACATTGCCGCGTGGCATGAATGAAATCTTCTATGATTTTTTGTATAATCCATCAAGCATCACGTCCATTTGTCAAAATCCTTGCGCAGTTTCGGTGTCTGCGAAAATTAAAAGACGAAATTGTTTGCTTCAAGTCGAACTGCTTTGCACTCATTTGAGGTTTTATCTGCTGTCATCTGTTAATGTATTGATGAAGGGTACCCATTCACTAACAATAGTATAGCTTCGCCTCTTTAAGCAACTGCAGTGGTCCTTTTTTTCAAGCACTGCCGTCTTAGTTTCCGCTAAGTAGTTGTTGAATTTTGATCCTGATTCGATAAAGTACACTATTTTCAGGTAGAATACGTTATGAAAGAATACGACGAATTTATGGATCACAACGTGAAAGGCATGTGGTTAGCGAAGATTGTAAAGGTTAGGCAATGTCTTTTTGATAGATTTCGAAAGGGTGTGGGATCTTGTACCCGAACGGCGAGCTGGGCTAACCGCTGCTCTATGTGGAGTGTGCGGTGTTGAAGTGGGATTTGGATTTCTAGTTAATGATCAAGGTAACTGCCGCAAGAGCACTACCGTGTGCGCGCCAGCGAAAGTTCGTCTACAAAGTCCACCACCCATTCCGATCAACAGTGTTACTTTCTAATCAGCTTGTACTTTATGGCCGTCTAGTTTACATTTTGTTGTTTTTTCTCCTCAGTTCTGGCCATCCCAGTTGTCGTTTGGAAAGACTGTCGAGTAGATTGCGCCAGAGTACTTTATCTCCAGCTTGATCGGGTCGATAGCTGTTTGACAGTTGGAGATTCAGAAGACTAAACACGGTGGCCACATCTCGTTAAATTCACCTGATTTAGATCGCTGGATACCGTCTATTACTACGATGGGTAGGAGCCAACGAAGAAGGTGATGAGCGCTTTGACTTCTGGGTGAACATCGGCTCCAAGGCTCTTCACTCGATTGGATAGTATGTTAAACTCCATTTTTTCGCAGTCTGGCTTTCTTTAATTTACTATTACTCTGCTGTGTGAGTTCACTTACCCATAGAAAAAAACAGAAAGTTGGAAAAAATTTGAACGGTTTCGGAGCCAAGCTTCCTAACGGCATTGTTGTTGGTTAGTTTCATGCTCATTCTCATCACGAAATGCGAATGCGAGGAGCAGAGTAAATTATGGCGTTATGGAGATGCTTAGAGTGTTTTGAGCGGCGTGTTTATTTTGTTTTGCGTTTTGAGCTTAAAAATCTAATCTACTTCAATCGAGTATTATAGATAAAGACTGCAGCTGATTCTATTTTAGCGGCTCGTCGGTGCAATACAATCGGCTCACATATGTTTTTATGCCGCCTAAATTCGTTGCTGATCGTTGGATGAGTGACGGCGAAGAAGGCTTGTCGAAACATATACAGTCTACTATGATTCCTCTGCAGCATGTTCGATCGTTGCGGAAGCAATTTGAGGATGACAGAAAACGAATAGTCACCGACACGAAGTTCAAGGTAAGCTTGGTAAAACTTTTTCACGACCTTTTTTTGGTCGATTGCGAAGACTGCAGATGTTGTAGTAGTTATACTATATTGAATTGCTGAGCCACGAGTTCGAGATCCATTCGAGGATGTTGATTCAGGTGAATGACCGTGTAGAGTTATTAGACTACAGTAATTCTACGCGTGTTCGACCGGCTAGGGTCAAAAAAGTGGTGGGACGCCGAATATGCGTTCATGTGAAGGTGGAAGACTTTGATGGTGACGTGGATGATGACGACCGCCAGGTAGCCAAAATTAGCATTTCTTACAGTTAGTGGGCAGCAACTATTCCTACCTCTATATTGGAATGCTGCATTTCAGTTTGGTGAAGAGTCTGAGTTCTGGGTGGATCAGTCGAGTTTCTATTTGTTCCATGTCGGTTGGGCATGTTATAACAATTACGGCTTGGGATCTACGAAGGAATACAGAAAACATGCCCAGAAAATCGCCGAGGCTCTTAGTAAGGTAAAGAAGAGCTCTAAACTTCAAAGATTTCGTTATTCCAAGACTAATATTATTAACTCATTAGCCACGAATAGTAACGATTTATTGAATGATCGTACAAAGAGAAAGTTAGGACGTAGCACTATCCAACGAAATCTGTTTCAGGGCGAAGACCCTCCTTTTGCCCCTAGCGATGTCACGCCGGCAAAACTGCGCTCTTGGAACATCAACAAGGTTCAGTAGCATGATGAGAATTGATATAGTATTTTAAATTACCACATTAGTTGTGCAATATTAATATAATCATTAAAGGAGGTGCCGCTTGGTTGGCAAAAAGGGATGCGATTCGAATTAATGGATCCACTAGCACAAATGTTCAATGAATTAAGAGTAGCTAGTGTCCTGGAAGTGTTAAAGGTAATGTATTTTATGAATTTTGCAATAATGTAATATGGGTCCAAACTGTCTCTTTGCAGGGTGGCTACCTTCGTGTGGGTATGGATGGTCCTGACGTGGAATCTGAATGCATACCGCTTCATTGTACCAGCCCGTTCATGTTTCCCGTTGGATACGCTGAAAAGTACGGCATCAAATTAGGAGGACCCAATGGTGAGTCTCAGAAGGGGAGTCTACATTTATAAATCCGTTGAAGTATCCTATTCTTATAATCCCTTTCAATTTGAATTTATATAATATCAGTGGGTATATTGTGTGAATGTTCGTGACTAATTTTCTGTTATTTAGATAAGTATCCTTCAGATACTGAAAAGTTTGACTGGAACGATTATCTACAGCAATCTGGAGCAATTGCTGCGCCGGAATCACTGTTCCGTCCCATTCCTGATGAGAAATATATGCAGCATTTTCAGGTAAAAACTGATTACTAGTTTACATGGTACTCTAAAGTACATTTGTTTCGCAGATCGGTGCTAAGCTCGAATCTTCTGACATGTGCGAGAACCACTTAGTCTGTCCGGCTACAGTTGCTGCCCATAAAGGACGTCTGCTGCAAATCCATTTCGATGGATGGGAGGACTCATACGATCAGCTCTTCGATGTGCAGTACGTTTTTTCTTAACATATAGAGACTTGGCTTAACTCTTCTCCCCATACGCTAGTGCACTACTTCTATTTACATTACCGTAGATCACCTCTGCATAGAATAGCGCTATTGAGGCACGCAATTGGTATACTACCCTTCTCAGAGTGATTAATTTGCCGTGATGGATAATTTTCCAAGAGGGATATCTCGTTTCTCCTCCTCTTGAGTCCCCGCAAGATTGTGCTGTATTTACTTTTAGGCTAGTGAACCTAACCTACATGCCCGTAAGTAAACAAAAGTTTGAATGTTCAGACATTGTTGGACTACTTTCGAATATTTTTGAATGCGAGCAAAACTTAACAAATGATCCGCATTGGAAGGATTGTAGCGAATTTCAGCTTTCGTCATGCGAATTAGATTCCTAGCAGCAGAAGGGCTTAGGTGTTTAGTGATTATGGCAATATACGAGCTCATCAGTGCAGGTTGTTATGGGCAAGTTGCTTAATTTCGCACGGGACTCAAACTTGATTCCGTGCTTTTCGGTCTCCATGCTCTTTATTCTTACACTACCTCGCTTAACTTAGCTTTCTTGATGGCTTCATTCATAGATTATCAGCATCCGATAAACATTGCGTTAAGAGTGTCAATCGATATCGGGATTGAACCTTGAACCTGGAAGCAGTCGATACTACCATTGCAGTAATAAGCTATCGCTGAAATACTATTGGAAGGTTAGGGCAACTTGAACTCGGCAGTGTGTGGGACAAAAACCCAGGGCCCCCAAAGCACAGCACCGCATAGCGCATTTAGCAGACGTATCCCGAAGTCTGCAAGTGAAATAGTCTGAGCTGGCCTTTGTTGTATGGTTTTGTGAATCGTAGGAAATTAGGATGAAAGTCTTCTCCTTTTTTATATTAGATCCCCTTTTCAGTTCCTGTGACATATTCCCTCTTGGTTGGAGCGAAATGCATGGTTACAAGCTTGAACCACCTAAAGCCGAAGAAGAGCCTCCTAAGAAGAAAAAGAAAAAAGGCTAAAAAGAAGACAAGCTGAGATTGTTATGGTTGTTTTGTAAGTCTACTGTTCGTTTTTTGTTTGTTTTTTTTNTTTTTTTTCTCATTAGATGGCTGTATTGATCTCTTCTTAACTTCCTTTTCATGAATTTATTGAAGTAATAACATTATCACATTGTCAAATGTATGTATATATGCGAACACTAGATGAAGCGTACCCATTATTTTCCCGAGAACAAAAAAAAAACGGAAGTAGCTTCCGGCAAGTACGATTGGTACGCAACGCGTCAGGGCAATCCAATAAAGAGAGAAAATACACGGTAAATGAGTATTCTTCGAAAAATTCCTCGAATAATATTTTTTCAAGGATTCTCGCTATTGTGTTATTATAGAAGGAACCGTCTCGCTAGAAGTAGACTAAACAATGATAAGAAAACTACACAAATAGGCACTGTTATGAAGAGTGACATGTAACCGTCATCGTCCTGGCGAAATGTGGGAGTTGGCCGGCTTGCCTAAATGGTTTTATTAAGAAGCATCAAAAATGTGTTGTTAATACTACCATACTTTGCGAAGTTATTCATAGATGGGACAATTTATTGGTTTCCATGCTTGACTTGATCGCCTTAAAAAGAGTTCTTCCAAGAGCCCAGAAAACCTTTTTTCAAAAAGGTTTGGAAGTGGCATGTCAGCATATTTTCTGCCGCTGCTATAGAATTTTTGGTCATGATGAAGACGATCACGTCGTAACGTTAAACTGTGAGATAATATTATTCGATTAAACTTATTTAACTTGTGAGGCAAAGGAGTATTAATGTGGTGGGCCTAGATATATTCGAAAGCTGAAGAATAAAGAAGAATAAACGTGGGTTTACCATTGTTTGCGGAGCTTGCTGTTCAGTCTGTGGAATGGGTTGAGGAGTTGGGGAAGGTGGTTCTTCAGAATCGGGTGCAGGAGTTGTTTCCTCGATCGATGAAGCAGTGGTGACACTGTCCACACAATCATTCGAAGTTGCCGTATTAGCCGTAGCAGATTCAGCCTCTTCGATAGCCTGCTTCTTCTCTTCCTCATTCTGAAAAATA